ATTACGGTGAACGCTCCCTGACAGCCAACCTCAGCAGCTAAAAGTGCAGCACACACTCTCCCACCGCCATGCCGTAACTGCAGCGTAATGTCGACTAGGCAACCAAACAGCTGAGCGATGAGGGCGGGCTCGCTCTAAGAAGAAGAAGAAGAAGAAGAAGAAAATCACGAGGCGCTTCACAAAAATAAAATATAAAAAAATGTAAAAATATAAAAAAGCATTTAGAAAATGTTTAAAAATATATTTAAAATGAGCAAAAATAAGCAATTGCGATTTAAAAGAAAAAATGTTAAGAAAGAGAGAGAGTGAATAGGAAAGAGGGAAATCAGTGGATCCTGAGGAAGGTGGAATAGGTGGGGAGAGCAGAACAAGGAGAGAGTGGTGAAGAAGGTCATACAAAAGCCAGCTTGAACAAGTGAGTTTTCAGCTGCTTTTTTGAAGGAGACCACTGAGTCCACTGATCTCAGGCTCAGGGGGAGAGGGTTCCAGAGTCTGGGGGCCACAGCAGCAGTCTCCCCCACCGTCAGTGGCTTCTTCAGACGTTCTGATTGCTGTGGAGCGACGCGTGCTACTTGCAGACGGGATGTCTCGCCTTTGGAGGAAAACCGACTCCTACAGCATCACCGCCATCTTTGACCCCGACGTTTCAGATGTAAACACTTGTACAGCGAGAACATTTAAAGCTGCAATCCAGTGTTTCCAAATTTTAGGATTTATGCATGATTTCTTTAGAGATCTGTAAAAATGAGTCTTACCCTGTACTGCCATATAATGTAGGCAACACGGCAATTAGACTTTAGCTAAACCCGCCCCCTCATCCCGTACAGCTACACACAATTTCAATTGAGCGCCACTCAGTGTTAGACATTAGTCTCAGAGTGTGTGTGAGTGTTTGAGGACATACCTAGACTGATGCAGTCTCATTTCTCATGGATAAGTAAGTCTTTATGTCGTATGAATAAACAACATAATGTGAGAATCACTGTGAGGCATAATGTTCTAGCTCTGGCTTAAAGTGTGATGCATCTTCCTGCCTCTAGATGGTGCTGTCTGAGGATTTCTGCCCTAATTGTAGTAAAGGGGAAAAAAGTCTTGTTGAAGCGGTTGAAGCTAAAGATTCATTTCAGTGGAGAAGCTCAGGCTGCAGGTTTGTATCAGATGGAGGAGTCTGAAGGTAAAGGGTTAGGGTTAATTATCCTTTATGTAGTTTCACCACCGTTACACCTGTAAATGCAAACGTTTCTGTTCTGACAGGAAAAAAAACCATCATTTTCCTTTTCAAGCTCTTTGGGTTTTAATTCTGAACAAGTCGTGACCTTGCCCGACAGAGACAAGTGGAGCATAAAGCACCACTGAACCCCCTCCTTCACACTCGTTCTAAAACCCTTTAACCTTAATCAACCTTTTTAATCAATTACCTTGTCTGATTACGCTCCACGCACGCCTCCCACCTTCCTCCCCACCCATCATTCCTTCTCCGTGTCTCTGCTCGACAATTCCCAGGTGGGCTGTACCCTGCAAAGTCAGAAGGTGCCTGTGACCACACAGCAGCTTCCTTCAGCCCTGGCCTCGCTAATGGGAACAAGTTTGGTCAGCTAATTAGCCTTTAATGCCATGTCGATTTGAATTAAGGAGGAGGTCCTTTTTAGCTGGGAAGGGTGGCTGTAAAACCAAAGTGGTGTGTGTGTGTGTGTGTGTGTGTGTGTGTGTGTGTGTGTGTGTGTGTGTGTGTGTGTGTGTGTTAATCAACCAACCACACATAGATTTTATGTTATTTTTCACGTTGGACCAACAGAAACAAAAGCGACTGGCGGGCAGTGGTAAAACTGATTTAATGAATAATTAGACTTTGGTTTCTACTTGTGCTTTTTTTTAATTTATTTGCTGCTTTGGAGATGGAGATGGAACAGTCTCTCCAGAACACGACTTCTATATATGGTGTTTTAACTTGAGATACACCAGCAAAAATTTCATCCCTAAAAATTCAACAACAGATTTTCAACGTAAAAATTTCAAAAGAAAAACTTAAAGAACTGATTCGACCTCCTGGTGACCCACGTGTCACTCCGTCGAGTCGACACGTCACTGGTGTCATGTTACCAGGGAAGCCTAATTTGATTGGCTAGGCCAAAAGCCACTTGACTCAATGGGGCGATGATTACTTTGGCTTTGGTCACCAGGAGGTCGTCTCGTTTGTTGTTGAATTTCTGAATTTTGCAGCTGAAATTCTGCAGTTCATGTTCCAAAACCATTTAAATGTTTAAAAAAATAAGATTTGACCTCATCTTAAATATTCCTGTCTTTGCCTGGCTACTGTAGTGTGCATGTAGAGCAAGAATAATAGGATACTTTGCAACTTTTTCATATTTTAAATCATTTTTGTGAGCCAGTGTGTGATATAATGACCCTTTGGTTGATGCCTAGCAAAAGACTGTCTGCCCTGGGGCTGGGAGGCCGGGGTTCATATCCACGGTCAGGTCACACCAAAGGCTTTAAAATAGGGACCCAATGCCTCGCTGCTCTACACGCAGCAATAAGGGGTTGGATTGGGCGGTTAAACCACCAAAGAGTTCTCTAGCGCGGCCACAGCAGCAGCTCACCGCTTCCCATGGGGATGGGTCCGATGCAGAGATGAATTTCACCAGTGTGTGATGATGATTATGGACTTTACCTCTGACTTTAATCAAATGTCACCCAGCCCCTATTGCCCCCTGTGGCCAGAATATTCCACTTGCAACTCCAGAGTGCCGGGTCGCTCTGTTGAGACTTAAAAAAAAAATGGAGCTGACATACCTGGCGCTGCAGTTTGCATCCAACATGTTTCCTGTATGTTTAGATCATGAACACAGCTGATTTGTTTAATTTAATGATGAACCACTCCTGTAGACACTAATGAAGGCTGGGGAGACATTTCAGCAGTCAGATTAAGGCCTAGTCCATACGTAGCCGGGTTTTTAAAAAACGAATATCCGCTCCTCCAAAAACTTGCATCCACACCACCTCATTTAAAAAAAAAACTCTGTCCACACGTACCCGGATAAATACGTTGTTAAGGACATGCCAGACCTGTAGGCGGCAGTACTTCCCCCGTTCTTAACCTCGTCCTTGGTCTGTGGTCTTCCGCAAGGAGCAGTAATTCCGCTTGCAAAAACAAACAAGCAAAAAGCGCTTGGACAATCGATAAAGCGAGCGCAGCTCTGAGGGCGTCCATGCTGTCGGCTAGTGTAAACACAGGTCGCACACGTGATGTCAGCATTTTTTTGTCGCGGAAAGTGACGTTGCGGACCTTAAAACTCCGGTTTTGTCTGTCCACACGCAGACACCCAAAACGGAGAAAACGCAGATCTTCACTTTGGCCAGAGTTTTTAAAAAGACCCGTTTTCGTGTGAAAAAACTCAGTTTTCGTGTGGATGACAGGCCAAAACGTAGAAAAATATCTACGTTTTGGCAGATCCCCGGCTACGTGTGGACAGGGCCTAAGAAGTTAAAAAGATGAACGCACAGCGAGGAGATCAATTTTGCTTTTGGTTCTACAAACGGACACTAGGGGGTGCTAAAAGCAAGCTAAAACTGCCTTTAAAAGCTCTTAATTGAAACATTTTGGTATTTTGGATCACGTTTAACACAAATTCAGATGTGAAACTAGTTTTAATATGATTACTAATAAAATGACTTACTTTAGATCACTGGTTACTGAAAAGTCTTCAGATTACACTATGTTGTTATTATTGCATTACTGGTACTCACCTCTACCTGTGCAAGATTCTGGCTATAAATGTGTTTTGGGTACCAATAAAAAGAGGATGTATACATAATTATATTGTCTTTTTATGCAGTGGGAGCGCTTGTGAGTCCCGTCTGCACATGAAGGAGAGCATTATTAGCCGCTCTGGTGTGACGGTGCTGTCTGACTCCCAGCCATGATGTTTGTTTGCAGCACCGTGACATCTGCTGTGTTCACGGTGGGAGACAACGTGGTCTCGGGGAGTGATGACCGCACAGTCAAGGTGTGGGACCTGAAAAACATGAGGTCGCCGATCACGACCATCCGCACCGACTCCGCTGTGAACAGGTGGGTGAACGTGAAGAGGTGTTTGCATCTGAAGCTTTAAAGCAGAATCTAACTGGGCGTTTAGTTGGAGGCACAACATATGAAGAGATTATTTTACTTTTATGTTGGAATCTGTAAGTTTTAGTTGTGGGGAGAACAATCGCAAAATGCAAATGTCACGTTTTCTTGTAATCGAAGATGTCCTAATTATCCTTTGTGTTGTTTGCACTTTACTCTCGGTTTACTCTGTTTGGTCACAAACCTCGTCTGACATTCCTCAGCTTTCCAAATTAGCATCGTGTGATGACAACGTTGTTCAGAAGTCCACCTTCAGATCTGATGCTAAATGAGTCGGTGGCTCGAACCTGCTGTTTGCTCTCTGATGCTAGCACAGAGGAGGCAGACAGCAGGTGGAAAGGAAGGATGGAACAAAAGCACATGCTTAGGGATTTTGGTCCTCCGTCTCTGTACTCCACAACATTACACGGCTTCCCTTCAACATGTGACTCACTTTAACTCTCCAGGATAAGCGTCTCTGCCAACCAGAGGATCATCGCTCTGCCACACGACAATCGACAAGTCCGCCTGTTTGACATGAGCGGTGTGAGGCTGGCTCGACTTCCACGTAGCAACCGGATGGTGAGGATAGGCTAAAGCAAACGGTGAGGAATGCTAGCCATTGGCTTCTTTAACACAGGTTTGTGTGTGTGTGTGTGTAGGGTCACAGGCGGATGGTGTGCTGTACAGCGTGGAACGAAGAGAACCAGACATGCAACCTGTTCACCTGCGGCTTCGACCGCCAGGCCATCGGCTGGAACATCAACATTCCCGCCCTGCTGCAGGAGAAGTGATGCTCTCAGGAGAACCACCAGATTCCCTCCATCCACCTCCGATCTCACCCACTCTGGGATCCGCAGCCTCAGACACACCAGCTTGTTATTCTTGGGAAACCCTTCTAGTAGCGTGTGTTTCACAGCTCTTCAGCTCGACTGAAGGGTGTGGAAAACACCAGGATGCATGAACACTGGTGACGTCACTCCCAGCTTGCTTTCATCTGAGCTGGGGCTGAAGGCTCCAGTTCCACCCACCAGGAGGCAGGCGTGTGTGTGTGTGTGTGTGTGTGTGTGTGTGAGGCCTCGGTGATCTCCTGATTTACTTTAGTGTTTCATTAGCATTGTTTGCTTTGTGTCGAGGCTGGGCTGACCTTTTTTTAGTCTGCCATCTTTGTGTAGAAATAAATATACTTGACTTGATGTTTGCAGGCTGCTGTTCACATCACTGTTCCTGCTGGACAGCTGCTTGTGTATGCAGGTCATCAGGTTGTAAAGTTGCCAGAGAACAAGAACTGAATGGTTTGTAGATTATTTGCAAATATGATGATGCCTGAATACGTGACCTGGTCTGCAGGTCGTGGCTAGCTAACAGATCCTGTGTCTTAACCACCTTTTGAAGGTGGGTCGTGACAAACTCAGAGTGGTTCTGTGACACGTTTTCTCCTCTAAAGTCATGCTTCCTGTGGCAGACAGAGACGTATCACATCCAGGCCTGCCACATTAGCTGTGCAGCGAGCTGGCTGCAGGGTCATTCATTTGTCCTGTAGCAGCGTCGCCTCCTGAAAGCTTAACAGACGGAGATTTGTGCTTCTCTTCCCGTTTGGTTCACAGCCAGCCTTCTTCTTTAGGTTCGTTTAAAATTCTGTTACTTGCCTTGTTCCATGTTTACAGAGGAGATGTGTTCATATATATATATATATATCAGTAATGTTGATTACTCTGCCTCTGACAGAGTTGAGTAGGTTAGCACAGCAATACGTTTACAGGGATCTGCGACTTGGTTGTGCTCAATGTAATCAGAATACAGTATTCCCCGAGTGTGTCTGATTTGGGAGGATCAGCTTGTGTGTCCTGGTGTCCGTGACGTGTAGGACATCCTTTGTTGCCAATCGGAGCTCGTGTTGCTGTTGCGTGTGAGCCTGTTGGTGTGTGTGTGCTTCAGTAACAGCTCGTCTGTGTAAAACGCGGTTTCCACACTGCAGCAAACTCTCAGCGTCGCACAAAGTCTCGTACCTTCCTGTGTTTCAGAGGCGCTCGTTGTTTAGGAAAACGGAAGCAATGACCCTGCTCCTCGACGTTCCTGGTGCTCAGAGTCGAGTGAAAACGCAGCAGCTCTCAGCCGCTACTGGAACCCGTCTGGACCTGGAAACGCTGTTCGTTACACGTGTGCAATGTCCCAAAAGAAAGTCATGCTGTAGTTTTTGGTCTTCTAACTTATTTCAGTGCTGTGAAATCCACACAGTTTGTGTGTGTGTTCTTATAACTGGTGTAGAAATGCTGTAGATAGACGTGCACAATGTCCCCATGGACTTCACTGCTGATCCTGCAGATATTTGGATCAGGATGCATTTAAAGTAGCATGAACCCAGAAAAGTCAAGTTTATCAAAAAGCCTTACTGCTGCATTAAAGCCAGTGCGTGACTCTTATCCATGTGAGCATCAGAGCGCCATCCCAAATGCTTGTTAAATAACTAATTGTACTTCACTGCACAGAGCAGATAGGATTCTTTCTTCTATTTCATTCAGGGAACTCAATCTCCTGCCCACTGGTATCGGTGTCATTTTAATCTGCAGGTAGGACGGAGAGTCCAGCGTGAGCTCTGCTCATGAATTCCAACCTGGAGGAAATGTGATTCTGGGTTGATACATTAAATTATTGTGTGCCAGACTCTAGGGATGATGAAAGTGGATCATCTTCGGCTCACTAAAGTGAATTTATATTCACCTCAAACTTCATTATGTGATCTACTTTGCATACTTTATTGTGATGGCTTTGTGACACTTTCCAATAAAATGTGTGTTTTCCTTTTCCAGTCTCCCTTCGCTCTCGTCTTATTCAACACGGATCCCTCTCACGCTCCTCATTCTCTTCTGCGAGCCGTGTATCTTTTTGAAATTTACATTTGATTCATCTGCAAACCCAGAACCTGGAGTATGGATGTCTGGTGTGAAGGAGAATGGATCCGCGTGTTAATGCAGAAACTATAGAAAAGCTTTTATTTGTTAGTTTATATTAAGACTTTATTTAGGCTCCAGCAGATTTTGAACTTGGCCGTTGATAAGAAACGATATATTGTGTAAATAAAGAACATTAAATACAGCACAGTTCAACAACACCGAAATCACCAGTATTATGCAGCATTTCAGTGAAGTTTTCAGCTGACTTGCTCTAGATCTGGTGCCTGACCCTGTTTTTAACTCTCTAAGGGATGGGCTCAAGTCTGCTTGGCAGATATGGTTACAAGGAGGGGTTCATGGTGGACTAAATGACCAAAATCGGCTTTTGACTGCAAAATAAGACCAAATCATCCCCCACCCACCATCGTGCTTATTAGCTTGTCTGATTAAACTGGACGGTCATGTTTCTACATAAGATATGCTTTTAGATATCTCAGAATCAGAATAGGTTTATTGCCATTGTCAGTGAACAAACAAGGAACTTGCTTTGGTACTAATGTGCTACATATAACATGAATAATAAGATTAAAAATAGAATAAAACTTTCAGCTATAAAAAATGGCTGGTAATGGTAACATGGCTGATAATGTGAGGTTGTGTCGAGTACAGAAGACCAGCATGGTTGCGTGTTCATAAGCTATTCACAAGTCCAATGGCAGATGGAAAGAAGCTGTTCTTATGGCGGGAGGTTCTGGTCCGGATGGACCGTAACCTCCTGCCTGAGGGAAGCGGCTCAAAAAGTCTGTGACCCAGGTGAGAAGGGTCAGCTGCTATCCGACCTGCACGCCCCCGAGTTCTGGAGACGTACAGGTCCTGGAGAGATAGAAGGCTGCAGCCAATGACCTCAGCAGAGCGCCCAATGCGCTGCAGTCTATGTTTGTCCCTCACCGTGGCTCCGGCATACCACACAGCGATGGAGGAGTTGAGGATGGACTCAATGATGGCCGTGTAAAACTGCACCATCATCTGGGCCGGCAGCTTGGCCTTTTTCAACTGCCGCAGAAAGTACATCCTCTGCTGGGCCTTTTTGAGCAGGGAGCAGATGGATGGCTCCCACCTAAGGTCATGTGTGATGGTGGTTCCGAGGAAGCGGAAGGAGTCCACAGTGGTGACGGGGGTGTCCGTCAGGACGAGGGGGAGAGATGGGGCTGTGACTTTCCTGAAGTCCACAATCATCTCCACTGTCTTCTGAGCATTGAGCTCCAGGTTGTTGCTGCTGCACCAGCCGATCCACCTCCCTCCTGTAGGCGGACTCATCACCGTCAGAGATGAGCCCGATGAGGGTGGTGTCGTCCGCAAACTTGATCAGTTTAACAGAGTCATGGCTCGAGGTGCAGCAGTTTGTGTACAGGGAGAAGAGCAGAGGAGAAAGTACACAGCCCTGTGGAGATCCTGTGCTGATAGTCTGAGTGGTGGAAACATTCTTCCCCAGCCACACGCACTGCCTATCTGTAAGATGCATTAGTGGTGGAAAGGTTTCTAAAATAACTTTAGCTTGCTATAATCTTTAAGAGATTGGCGCTCAGGACGGCTGTTTGGATTATCTTTTATCTTCCTTCATTGCAGCTTTTGTCTTCTTACCATTGGCCCCAACACACTGCTGTAGCCAATTGTCTGAATTAACATAGGTCTTTATTTAAATCTGTCCTTTATTAACCAGTTTCCACCCTACCTAGTTTTGGTTGTTTATAGCAAGCAGGATGTAAAATAAGAATTAGATTATTTCTTAATTCCTAGCAGATATAATCTCCCTCAGACTTTCAAGGTTTACTAGATGGAAAAATTCTCAAACATAATGAAAACCCACTGATGTAGAAAGAGGAACAAACCAGAAGTTGAAGCGGAGAGGACTCAAATGGCCCCCTAGTGGCTGGCTGCGGTGCAGGTTCTAAGTCCCGCCCTCTCCATGCAGACACATAGGAGTTTATAATACCTTAAAAACAGTTTAATCTGCCCATGCTGAATGCTTTTAGTTCAATTCCTATTAATGTATTCATTAGATGTTAACTTGATTGTGTGTAGGTGAGTGGGCGGGGCTTTGAGCCCACATGACAACATGCCATCATGGTTTCATGTTTAAACCATGAACAACAGAGAAGCTTTACTTTTGTGGATGTTTAGGACAAAACAGGCTTTTTGCATCAGTTACCCGTGTCTTAGAGGATGTGGGGACATTTCTCAGGCATGTGAAAGGATGCTAAGAGATGCCAAATAAGGTTTATAAATATTAAGACAAGTTTCAGATGTCAGACGTCTCTGTCCTTGTTCTTTAAATAGGGAGTGTGTGGTTATGACCGGCTGCTGGATCATTTACAGTGTTTATTGTAGAGTATGTAGCTGACTCCATGGCTCTGGGGGGGAGGGGGAAGCCCCTCGCCCTCTTCTTCCTCAGCACCCCTCCAGGCTAATTTGGTTGCTGCTCTGTATGACACCTGCCTGGAGCCTAACGGCGATAACCAATTCCCCGTGGGTTTCCCCCGGGAGACGCAGCAGTTGGGGGAGGCCTCTTTAATGATGTGGATGTTCTCCAGGGCCGGCACATTATCACACCTGACAGGTGATCATGACAAGGTGGAAATGGACTAATACGTGAAAAAAATCTCCTTTATTGCAACAAAACATCTATTCCATTTGGCAATAATTCACAATAAAGAGGCGCGAATATGAAATACAAGATTTAGAGGTTTTATTCACATGTACAGTACAAACATTCACTTTTGTGTTACTGGAGTGCAATTTACAGACCTTAGCAGCAATTCCTCTTCAATTTACATCAGAACTGGACAGTTTCAGATTTCTTTCACATCTTCATCAGCATCTTTTATACATTTGTATTTACAATTCTACAGATTTTAATACAATATTGCCATTTAAACATGCCTTTTATTTGTCATCCCTCAGTGTGGTGGCTAACTTAAGCCGTCATGATAATGATGTTTGTGCCATTTCTGTGATGATGAATGGTTATTAATGTTCTGGCCTTTGAGCTTTTCTAATTCTGGAATTTTATTCATGTACGCGATCATCGCTGTGCACACGATTGGATTAACACATCGTTTAGTTTAATCGGATTAAAAAACAGATGAAACATCTGAAAAATATACAGTTCACCTAGAAATCCAGAACTAGTCGAGATCTTGTTTCGGTTACTGTTACCTTTATTAACTTTACTAAGTGCATTATTAAGCATTAATAAACAAAGTATCTCTTCATTGATGTATATTATTAATTATTAAGTGTTCACTGATGGTAACATGTTATTTTTGAAGAATTGAATTATTTTTCCAAACATGGTGGCATCTCTTGGGTCTGAAGTGGGCGTGGCTTAACCAGACTGGTGCAGGTAGATGAACAGCCTAAAAAATCCGAGCTGTGTTTTTTTGTGCTTCAGAACTAAAAAGGTCTTTTTTAAGAAAGTAGTTAAAAATAATAAAAAATAAAAATGAATCTGACTGCTTTGGTTCTAATTTTAGGATGAACATAACCTGGGGGACTGGGACCGTTTCTACATAAATTCCAACAATGACCTAATGGTTATTTAAGTATTCATACTTAACATATATATGCTGTCCCACAAGTCCTTGGGATGTTTATAAAAGTATTTACAATAACACTAAATGTAAAAAACAACAACAAAGTAACAGGAAGATAATGTGATTATGGGCCAATTTGATTTTATTATCTTAAAGGTCCAAATTTGATAATAAAACCGTGTTTAACCAGTTTGTCAGCATGATTGTCTTATTCCTAATATTTGGAGAGGTTTAAATAACCACTAAAGTAACGTAACTTTAGTTTAAAAAAAAATTAAAAAAACAACCCCGTACTGGTCACACACCACACCACCTCAGCCCACACAATGCAAATAAAATCTAACATTTTTATCTTCATAAGGAAACAATAAAGAATGTTGAATCTGTTGGACCTGCTGTTCCTGGAGGACGTTACTAGCAGGCACCACTAGAAGTCACTCTCACTGTTTGGATGTTGCTGCTGACTGACTGAATTATTGAAGGAGGATGCAGAGGTGACAGAACAATACAGTCATGATCATTATCAACATAAAGCTGCAGAACGGAGTCCCACTAACAGGTTGGTGTACCTGGTGGTGCTAATGAAGGTTTAGGAGGGTTAAACATCACATCAGGGGCATGGACTTCCTCTTACAGTACCACCTACAGCATCAGGTCAGAGGTCACCACTGCTTAACAACAGCACAAGGCGATCGGGTCAGTGAGGCGTCGCTCGTTAATGCAACTACTGCTGATGACATCCTTAGCCAAAGGCCACGCAGGTCAAGAGACACGATGAAAGTGGAAGTACACCGCTCTTCTCCTCCTACTCTTCCATTGTCACCTCGTCGTGGTTTTAGGCGAGCGAAAATGGCTGCATTTATGCACCTCACCTCCTCCAGAGATGCATTCACCTGTCGTTGTGTCATGTTCAGCTCTCCCAAGGGAGGCAGGGAGGGAGCTCAGAGAGGAGGGAGATCTGGAGTGAACGGATGAATTGAGAAGGAGGGCAGTAGTAAAAGAGGTGAAGCAGGCTGTCCTTCTCGTTCCTCGCTCCCTGCTTCTGTTTCCATCACCCGTCACCCTGACAGGGCCGGTAATTGGACGTGGACCCTCTTTTTTTCATCATCTTTCATCCCTTTCTCCGTCCATCTCGCTCTCTCCCCGGTGACTCGGCTCCTCAGCGGGAGCCTCGGGGCCCGAAAATAGCTGATGACACGATAGCGGCTGCCTTTCATTCTGCTCAAGGTTACCCCAACCCTTTCCTTGACAGCCAAAGGAGGGGTGGTGGTGGGGGTGTGTGTACTTAGAAGGGTGTTTGTTTAAACCTGTGTGTTTGTGTATTTAAAGAAAGTCAGAAAAAAACAATTCAGCTTTACATGTCTCTTTTTCTTCAGGTCCTCTCAGCCGACCTCTGCTAGCTGGTTTTGTTCTGGTTGGATGAGCGACGGGACCCGAATGAGTCCCAAACACACATGGAGCCAACGGAGATAGGGTAGATGGTACACTTCCAGGTATGAACTCGTAAAATGAGTTATCTTAGCCTAAAAAATAAAGGTCACGCACACACACACACACACACACACACACACACACACACACACACACACACACACACACACACACACACACACACACACACACACACACACACACACACACACACACACACACACACACACAAACACACACACTGAGTCTCTCAGACTGACAGCAGGAACTGCTCCTGCTCTGGAGGCTTCTTCACCCAGGTACCAAGGCCCGTTTCCTGCAGAGATCTGAACCACTGCTGCTTGGCCATCTGGTAAAGGCGCGCCACCATCTTGGCCTCACAGTACATGAGCTGACGGTCCTCCGAGCTGGACAAGTGGACACCCAACTGGAGACAAGAGACAGGAAAGACAGTCTCAGATCAGAAAAATCAAACAGGGACTAAAATTGGGGCATCGGGGCAAATCGGAGGGGTTAAAGAGGAGCGAGCAAAACAAAACGAATGAGCCGGCACAAATGCATTTGGGTGGCTGTGGGAGGGGTTGGTGGGTGGTGGTGGTGGGGGGGGGGGGGCTTCAACAGCTGTGTAATCTCCCCATTTAAATTTCACAAGCAATTGCACATTCTCTGTGCTTTGTGTGCGTTGGTACTGTCGCGGGGGGAGACGGTGAAGATGGGCACAGAGACAAGAGGGGAGAGGGAGGTGGAGAGAGCAAAAGTTTCTTTTGGAGATTAGTGCGACTGCTCTTGCGTGGCCCTCATATACGGCGCGCAGGGAGCACTTAGGGTGGGGGCCTCCGCGAGCACTTCTCCAAATAATTATGGTTTCATAGTCATTATGCTTAACGGGCGCCATTTGCCGACGCAGGCGGTGTCTGTTACATAAAGTTTCAGAGTGGAAATGAAAATGCGGCTGAAGATTCGAGCTGCCAGTTTTTGATAAGCCACGCACACGGCAGATGTTGCCAAGACGACAAATTTATCTACAACAGAAAGGAAATTCCATATTTCTTCCTCCATGAAGCACTTTGTGACTGATTTGAATACACGTTTGTTCCTGTTAGAAGGTTCCCCTGTAGCTCCTGTGTTTGTGGCTGTGAGCCACTGATGATGATGAAAGGAATATTGGCGTGTAAAAACAGCAGAACTGTTGCTTTTCCACCACAGAAGAAGCTGCGGACCATCATATTATTTACATGGGAATTGATTATTTATTTCCTGCTCCATCTTTCTGGATTTAAAGGTCGATCCACATTTCTACCCTCACCTGGTTACGAGCTTTGGGTAGTGTGACCAAAAAAATGAGATCATGATGGTAAATGGCCTGTATTTGATATAGCGCCTTCTAGAGTCCTGGAACCCCCCAAGGCGCTTTACAACACAATCAGTCATTCACCCATTCACACACACATTCACACACTGGTGGGGATGAGCTACGATGTAGCCACAGCTGCCCTGGGGCACACTGACAGAGGCGAGGCTGCCAAGCACTGGCGCCACCAGTCCCTCCGACCACCACCAGCAGGCAACGTGGGTTAAGTGTCTTGCCCAAGGACACAACGACAGCAACAGACTGAGCGGGACTCGAACCTGCAACCTTCCGATTATGGGGTGAGCACTTAACTCCTGTGCCACCGTCGCCTACAAGCAGCCTGTAATGGAATGTTTACTCTGTGCCTTATACACTCCGTTTCTGGGATCTTTTTAACATCTTGGGAACTGGCTAGATGCTCTTTGTGATAAGACAAGAAACAATCTGTTTTGTTCTGTTCTGATGTCTCTGTAACATCCCAGGAACCCCTACCAAGAACAATGCAGAGCAACACCAACAAGTGGTCTGGGGCTGATTAGACCCGACACCCAATGTCCGAAAGAACAAAGAAGCTTCTCTGTGTCTTTGTTAAACCCTGGGGAGGGGAGGGGGGTCGGCTCTGGGCTCTTGACCCTCCTGACCAACGAGAGAAGGGTCTTTGAACGCTTTTGCCTTCAAATCATTGGACGTAATGGGGGGGGGGGGGGGGGGGGGGACATGTCCCCCCCACTTTTTCCAAAGTCAAGTTTTGACCCCTGCACACTTTTTACCATCTAAAAACAATATTACGCTATATTAAATGGACACTGGTTGAGCTCTAGGACCAAGTGGAAAACAACAGTTTTTGTTGAAGCCTGTTTCCCATTAGAACATACTGTAAAGAACCCCCCCCCCCCCCCCCCCTTCTAAAGTGAAAACTACGTCCATGCTTCAAATACATTGCTTCTTAAGACACAGAGCTCTGGCTTTTGAAATCTTTATTACTCTCACCATTTGTTAAACAGAATTTCCACAACACAGCCGAAATACGTTTTCTCTGCTGGGTGTCTGGGCTCTCCCCTAGAAATAGGGTAACAAGCTCAGTCATCCGGGTGGGGCTCGGAGTAGACCTGCTGCTCCTCCACATCGAGAGGAGCCAGTCATGGTGGCTCAGGCATCTGGTTAAAATCCCTGGTGAAGTTTCCCAGTCTCTTGTGGTCCCTCCTCCTCCGGTGTTCCAGTCTTCCGTGTCTCTGCCTCCTGTGGTCCAGGCTCCTGTGTCTAATCCTCCTGTCTCTAGTGTCTAAGCATCCAGGGGTCCTGTTCCTGTGTCCCAGGTCTCCTAGGGCCCGCTGTCTCCTGGTTCCTTACTGCAGGCCTCCAAAGCCTGTCGTCTCCTCTACCACAGATTCCAGCCCCCCAGGCCTTTTGGGGCTTCTTTGTAGCTTTGTTTTAGACTTGGACTAAACTAGATGTTTTTTTTTTGTGTGTTTCTGTGGTACCCTCCCACACCCCTTTGGGTTGTTCTTGAATGTTGCCCCCACACTCGCCTTTATGAGTGTTTCTCATGTTGGGCATCCGTTCTGCCCATCTGCCAATCTTGGCGTGACCTTTGACCCAGCTCTCACCCTGGATTCTCATGTCAGTTCTCTTGTTCGCTCTTCCTTCTTCCATCTCAGGAACATTGCTAAGCTGAGTCCCATTCTGTCTCGCTCTGAACTTGAGACAATTATCCACACCTTCATCTCCTCACGCTTAGACTACTGTAACTCTCTTTTCACGTGTCTGAGCAGAACCTCCCTGAACCGTCTACAGGTGGTTCAGAATGCCTGTGCTCGGCTTCTGACCAAGTCCTCCAAACACACCCACATCACCCCGCTTCTCCTCCAGCTTCACTGGCTGCCAGTCAACTTCAGGGTTCATTTCAAGATCCTGGTTCTGGTCTATAGGGCCTTACATGGACAAGCACCATCTTACATTGGTGATCTTCTTAGTCCCTACACCCCCAGCAGGTCCCTGAGGTCCAGTGATCAAAGCCTACTGGTTGTGCAGCGCACCAGGCTAAAGACCAAAGGTGACAGATCATTTGCTGCTGTGGCCCAGGGGCGGCGTTAGGCCCGGCTACTTGGGCTCAAGCCCCGAATGTTTTATGAAAAGCCCCGGATCTAAATCGTGGAAGTAACATGCAGTACCAAAGTCCAACAGAGTGGGAGCAGCTGGCAGTAGTTTGTATACAGCCTGCCTGAGCCTCTACCACTGTAGAAGAAGCCCTTCAGCAGCTGGCTTCTTCTACAGTCTGCCTGAAACGCATGAGTGAAGATGGACATAAGGACATTTTTTAGACCAAAAGCACGGCGACAGAACCCCAGCTTTGATGAGACTGGTGTTGACTCAGGTTTGTGAGTCTTCTTTGAAAATATTTGTTGTGCTGATGGTTTGCCTAAAGTTAGCTTATCAGGTAAAGTTGCTGGAGAAAGAAAGGGAATATTTACTATCATCTCACACTAAACACTAACTGGAACAATACTCTGCCCTGAAAATGCTTAATATTTAGCTTCACATTAAAAATTATGTGGTACAAGACATATATATGTGATGCTGACTAGTGCGTGTCACGTGTGTGTGCGTGCGCGCATGAGTGTGTGCATGTGCACGCGCGTGCGCGTGTGTGTGTTAAGCCCCGGATCTTCTTCAGTCCTAAATCCGCCCCTGCTGTGGCCCCCAGACTCAGGAACTCTCTCCCCCTGAGCCTGAGATCAGTGGACTCAGTGGTCTCCTTTAAAAAAACAGCGGAAGACTCACTTGTTCAAGCTGGCTTTTGTATGACCTTCTTCACCACTCTCTCTTTATTCTGCTCTCCCCACCTATTCCACCTTCCTCAGGATCCACTGATTTCCCTCTTTCCTGTTCACTCTCTCTCTTTCTTAACTTTTTTTAATCACAATTGTCTATTTTTTGCTCATTTTAAATATATTTTTTATCATTTTCAAAATTCTTTTTTATATTTTTACATTTTTTGTTTTTGTGAAGCGCCTTGTGATTTTTATCTTGAGAGGCGCTATAGAAAGGATGTTTTCTTCTTCTTCTTCTTCTTTAGCTCAGTTAAGGTGCTGCAGCATTTCAGTCAGGCTGAGCTCTGGACCACTTCAGAACCATGACTGTTTCAATGTCGGGCCTTCTGCTGTAGACCTCCTGCTGTGTTTGAATCAAGGTTCTGTTCTATGAGCCAGTCTGGTCCAAAATCCAGCTCTCAGACAGGTGGACTCACATCTGACTCTAGAAGACTTTGGTCTACAGAGGAGTTCATGGTGGACTAAGAGACTGTAAGGAACCCAAACCATCAGCCCTCCACCACTGTGCTGACAAAAAAAAAAACTCCTCTGTTTTATCTAATGTGTGCTTCTTTCAGATGCAGATTTGCAAACTGACTTTCAAACTTTAACCTTTGACCTGCTAACGGATGCCTCTGGAATCTTGGATGGAGCTCCTGCTTCTTTTAGAATTTCCCTGACCTCTGACCTTGTGGTGAACTTCATGAGACGTGCTCTCTTGGTAATACGGGCAGCTGTTATTAATGTAAACGCAGATGGATGGGCAGCAGCAGGTCTCTCCTCCTTGTGTTAACACACACCTGTATGCTCCAGACCTGCAGACCTTTTTATGTGATTCCCTGTTTAATGAGAGGTCTCAGAGATCTCTTGTAAAAAGGAAGAGAACAGTGAAGTTAATAATCATATTCTTTTGGTTTGTCTGTGCTCTTGTGCACACAAGCTAGTGCTGCTTCTAAAATTGTTGGAGAGGTTTCATGCATCCATCGCTGGCAGAAGTCCTAAGCAGGAAGTTAAGAGACTGATAATAATACAGTTCATTGTTCTAGTGTGATGAAAACAGCATGGAGGAACGTTTGGATCCCCTGGAGAAGTCAGCCCTCACCTTTCGGTAGAGTCGATTCCAGCGGGTGTACAGGGCATGCTTGCAAAGACGAGATGGCGTCCCTGAATCCCGCCGCTGTCCCGTTGTGGTGTTGACCACCTCCATCTGTGTGTCGCCAAGCGTCCAGTTGATGCTAACGCACGTGGCCTTCCCTTGCTGCTGGTACTCAGAGTTGCTCAGTCCTGTTGGGACAAAATACTCTTCAGTGGAGGGGTGACTTCTATAGCACTCAAACTGTTGCCCTACAGGTGATTTATACAATCTTTACCTTGGAACATACTTTCATACGAGTAGCTGTAATGCACTTGTAAGTGAATTTTTGCAACAGAGCGCTTTACCTCCCAAACCTCCACTAAGTTGTTCCATTTAACCTTTCTGCACCCTTGTCTCACTCTCCCCGAGGCTAATGGCAGGTGTAAAGTTTTGCAGTGCTGCAAAAAAAAACAAGTGGACCTGTGCCGGGAACTGCGTGGCTGTTAATGTGAAGCTTTGATACACCCCCAGAGAGAGAGAGAGAGAGAGAGAGAGAGAGAGAGAGAGAGAGAGAGAGCTGAAAAGGAGAGTTATCAATCAAGTAAGCAACGTGTTCCTGCCTTTGTGTGAGGGCTCGCCTGCTCTGTCCCTGCAGTTAAACAGCACTCCAGGTGTGCACTCGGTAAATATTACCTCCACTCACAAAGATAAGCTGGTACCGTGTTTCATATGGTTGGCCTCTTTCTTTGAGATAATTAACCCTCACCAGTCAAGCACATGCAGCGATCAGCAGAGGAAAGGAGAGGAGGAAGAGGAGAAGAGATGACTTCTGACTGGGCTATTCAAGTTCAATTCAATTCAAGTTTATTTATATAGTGCCAAATCACAACAAGAGTCATCTCAAGGCACTTCACATAGTAAACATTCCAATTCAGGTCAGTCCTAAACAAGCATTTAGTGACAGTGGAGAGGAAAACTCCCTTTTAACAGGAAGAAACCTCCAGAGGATCCTGGCTCAGTATAAGCAGCCATCCTCCACGACTCACTGGGGATCAAGAAGACAGAGCAGACACACACACACACACACACACACACACACACACACACACACACACACACACACACACACACACACACACACACACACACACACGCACACGCGCACGCACGCACACGCACGCACGCACACACACACACTCACACACACACACCATATATACCAAGTAATGTTTCTATGGTGTAGCGGAAATCCACATTTTTATATTCTCAGTTAACTTCATCGGGATCCACACGGAGAAGAACAATAACATTTTCACACGAAGGTTTCTTTCACACTTGGCAGAAAAAAGGGGTAATTTGAAACTGGCCTACAATCATATAAATTCCAAGATACCATTTCTGAACATCTGACTAACTCCTACATTTTCTCCCAGGAATGTGAATTTTACCAAGTGACTTGTTTTTCCCTCCTTAAGCAATCGAGAAGCCGGACATTATCAGGACTTGGTCTGTCTTACCTCAACCTGCCAAGATCTGACTCTCCCCAAGGCCGGGTGCTCGTAAAAACTTCTCAGGGGTCATTCTGGAAGGTTCCAGGATTTAGTCTTTATCAAAACCCTGGTATTTTTCTGTTTATCCACAGTCAAAAGGTGTTTTAGTTTGCTTCACCATTAAAATTCAAGGTGTTCCAAGTAAATGTTTAAACTTTTATCAGTTACAAACCCAAACTGCTTGTGCTGTGTTTTTTCTTTCATGTTAAACTCCTGCCATTGTGTTTCACCAGTACAAAACCATGCTAAAAGTGATACAGTCGAGCTTAAGACGTGAAGTTAGTTCTTTTCTGTTTAAAGTAATACCTTTTGAGACCTTATTTGGAATAACTTTGTAAAAATTGCGAGCATGAATCTCTCAAAGTTGGAACACTGTTATTCGAAAGAGCCACAGTGCCATCAAGTGGTTAATGAGTGAAATACATGTGGGAGTGACCAAGAAGTTTATAAAACCAGAGTTCAGACCTCGTGGTGGCAGGAGAAAAGAGAAAAGGATGCCTTAAGTACAAATCTCTGTGGGCTGTTTCCATCTGGCCTAGCAGAACCCGGCGCTTTACAGTTGTCAAGTAATTAGCTCTCAAACGTTACGGTAAAAATCAGAAGCAACTCCGTTTGTTTTGTTTTGTCTTCCTACGTGAAACCGGAAGTCTGCGTGTTCGGTCGAGTTGTCACATTAAGAGTTAAACCCTATTTGGAACAGTTTCTCTGATTCAATCTCGTTTGGATAATTCAGACTCGCGGTCTGAATTCCACGTTTGGGTGCAGCTGGAGGAACCTAAGGGTCAAGCCACGATATTAAATCCAACTGTCCAGTTCTGAAAACTGGTGGTGCCCCGATTAATTCATATAAGATTATAAACAAGCTAAATCCACGCCACATTTGAAATATAGATATGAATCTTTAATTATCGCTACAATGGTTACTATGTGATTTCTTAGTAAATATTCTATTTGGTGAGAGATAAAGTTGATTGTATTTATCCTAGTGAATCTATAATTAAACGGGTAAACTAGTAGTAGCACATTCAATGTCAAGGAAAGTAAAATGTTATTATCAGGACAAGGAGAATGAATAAATGGTTAGCAACAGTGTTTAAGACGATGGCCTCCTCCATGAGGCCACCACAGCTCAGCAGAACATCATTGTAGCTTCTTCTGGGGAGAAAAACACTTAAGAAAAAAATAAAGTTAACAGCTGAAATTGCAGGAAATAATACAGTTAAAGAGCAGATTGTAGAATAAAGTAGTAGAGTGTGGGAAGTGGTCAGTGTGCCCTCCAGCAGTCTAAGCCTATAGCAGCATAACTACAGAGATAACTCTGGATAACCTAGCCTTTTAGATGGAGGCATGTTGGAGGCAGGGCAAGGGAGAGCCGTCTTTACCGACTGTACACTCCACCTCCCTCTACTCCCCCACTTATCCAGATCTAGGCTAACATCAGATTTTAACCATGGGCCCTATCAAATAAAAATGTTTTAAGCCTTGTCTTAAAAGTAGGCAAGGTGTCTGCCTCACGGAGTAAAGCTGGGAGTTGGTTCCACAAGAGAGGAGCCTGATAACTAAAAGATCTGCCTCCCATCCTATTTTTAGATATTCTGGGAACCACCAGTAAACCTGCAGTCTGAGAGCGAAGTGCTCGGTTAGGAACGTATGGAACAATCAGATCACTGGTGTATGATGGAGCTTGATTATTAAGAGCTTTATATGTGAGAAGAAGGATCTTAAAATCTATTCTGAATTTAACAGGCAGCCAATGTAGGGAAGCTAAGACAGGAGAGATATGATCTCTCTTTTTAATTCTCATCAGAACTCTAGCTGCAGCATTTTGGGTAAGCTGAAGACTTTTAACTACATTCTGTAGACTTCCTGAGAGTAATGAATTACAGTAATCCAGTCTTGATGTAATAAATGCATGAACTAGTTTTTCAGCATCACTCCTGGAAAGTATGCTTCTAATCTTAGCAATATTCCGAAGGTGGAGGATTTCCTCTGTGATTTAAAGAGCTGGGAGTCAAATTAGGGCTGATGGTAAAATGTCCTCAAAAGGCTGGACTGTGTTATAAAGGTACAAAAACCTACACGTCATGATTCTGCAGCCTGAAGCAAGAGGAGATGTCTTCCTCCATGAAGGTCATTGCTTGTTTGGTTAAAGCAAAATATGAGAAAACCCCAAATAATGTTATTCTGGAATCTACAACCGGTTAACTTTTGTAGTCAGTCCAGTTCAAGATAGCTGCCACAGCCAGCTGAGTTTGGTTACACAACAAACATCAACAACAGTTTTAGAGATGCTGGACTGAAATCTGGTGTCCACCTCCAACACTTACTCTTAGTGCTAACAGATTGTGTGTACACGTGCATTCAAGTTTAAGAAAACCAAAATCAAAACAAAACAAAATAAATGCTTGTTAGGAACATTCCCATTGAGTTGTTTGACAGGAAAACAGTTCGTCTGAGTTTAGATGATGATGGACCCAGGGTTCGATTTACGGGGGAGCTAAGGGGAGCCTGGCTCCCCTGAAAGGGTTACTGGCTTCCCTAGAAGCCTTCAACTGACACACCCAGAGGGGACCCGAATCAAATTCGATTTGATTTGATTTTGGGGATCAGGGAAAAAATAGATTACCCCCAAGAGCTCCCCTAGAAGCCTCAGTGTAAGTCATACCCTGGACACAATTTAAAGTTTTACTCTAGTGATAAATCTGTTGGATATTGTTTATTTTTGTTGAATAATTGTGAATCATCTTCAGATATGCAGTGTGCCCAAAAAATTAAATAAATAAAAACTCACACATAAAATGAAAACAACAAAGGAACCCAACACATTTTAATGTGGGAACGTGTGTGTGTGTGTGTGTGTGTGTGTGTGTGTGTGTGTGCGTGTGTGTGTGTGTGTGTGTGTGTGTGTATGTGTGTGTTTCCTTATTTTCCATGGTTACATGTTGGACGAGTACCCAATCCACTGGATTTTACGGTATGTCATGTTAAATTTATTTCCTCTCCTAGTGGAAAGGTGATGCGCGGGTGGTTGGTAACTGGGAGGCACCTCCAAAGAAAACAAAGCTCCTCAATGAAGAAAGGAGAAAAGTAGAGAGAGGGTTTTTTACTGGGTGTAGTAATTTTGTGAGTAAGACTATTTAAATCTAAGCTAACATGATGTCACCGAGATAATCAGGTTTTTGTGTTTGAGTGAACTTATGAATTTACACCAATCATTCGGACTGAAACTAATAACATTTTGACTTTTAACCCCTTTGCAGACCTTAAAGCATCCAGATGGAGCAGCAGGATTAGTACCTTAACAAGGAAGGTACATATCCATGTGCATGTGTCTACTGCCCTCTGGTGGAGAATCTAAGAAGGGCAAGGGCCAATTTTATTTCTTTATCACTCCTAAAACGTCATAAAAATGCCCAATACAATAAAACTGATTATTATATGATTGTTGTGTCAACATTATAAAGTAAAGCAGTTGCTTAATAAGGCAGAAAGAAGAATTACAGAGTAAATTAACACACCCAGACAATGCAAACATGACATAAATACAACGGAACGTGAACACTCATACCTGATTAAAGACACTGGTGCACACACCAACAATAATTTGGTGACTATAAAGGACTTCACACTTTATTAAACTCGTCGTGTTTCTAAATGTG